ATGTGCAATTTTTTTAATATTTATTATGAGTAATTATTGTCATAATAAAAAATATTAAGATTATTGAAATTTTATTTTTTACTTTGTAGTTAGTGTTTGATTGATTTTAATTTATTAATTAATAAATATTAATTATTTTATTAATTATTAGTTAATAATAATTATAATTATTAGTAATTTTTATTAATTAAATTAAATTAATATTGTTAAAAATAATATTTTATAATTTTGATAGTCTTAACATTTTTATTAGTAATCATACCCTTGTGCACCAAGGCACTAGTTATAAGATTTCTCCTTATATATTAGTTATTCATTTCTTTTCTAATTGTTAAGGAAAAAATTGATAAAAATATGAAATAGCCTTTCTAATAGTCATAAAATATGTTTCATGAATCTTAATTTAATTTGGATTTAGATGTGGATGACATATGGATTATTATGGACCTTAACATGGTTCTTTTCTTTCTGCCATCTTTATTTTTTTTTCTTTTACCATTGGACCTTATATGGATTCAATGATAATCTCTTTTTTTTTTTTTTTTTTAGTATTTAGAACTTGAGATTGTGGAGACGGGACCGAGGCCAGTGGATAGAAGTCATAGAACCTGGGTTCTGGTCAATGATTTAATTGAACCCAACAACGTTGGGTTTTTTCCTTTGGGCCCAAACGTTTTCGATTAATATAAACGTTATTCAATTAAGGGTTGAAGTACTTTATTTTTTTATTTTTTACTAAACCCCTGTATATTTGAAATTCTTATTAAACTTTGATTAACTAAAATTCGAATCATGTTATATCCCATAAGAGAGCCTATCTTTCTATTTATAAGATTTGAATTCAAAACTTTACTTAATACTAAAAAAAATCAGACTGTTTTCATTTAAACCAACAATTTTAACATAGTTAATTGAAATATAGTTAGACCTAAAAAGTACAAGAAAAAACTGTTAGGGACAATCTTTTTATATTACATTTTCATATAACTTTTATGTGTCATTAAACGAGTGAATGCATTTAATATCACAAATCTCACATAAATTAAAAGAACCAATCATCTAAATAACATGTTAAATTGTACCAAAAGATGATACAAAAAAGTTGTCCCAAAATCATTTTCCCTAAATATAATATTGTGTTTATTAATTATTGACCCATTATTACTTTAGTTTAGTAAGTTTGTTTTCTTTAAAATTGATATAAAAACTTATGTCACAAGATGTGGACAAACTATCACATTCACTAAATAATGTTTCGAAAGAAAGGAAAAATCTAGATATCTTGATATTTTAAATATCAAAATGTTTAATAATAATTATATAATAAATTTCATAAAATTAAACTCACACTATATCTCATATATTTAATGGCTCTAATTAAATGTTTTAATATTTTAAATGTCATGATATTCTGATTTTCTTTTTTCCCTAATGTTTTTCTTTTTTCTTTTTTCTTTTTTTTTTTTGTGTGTGTGTGATCTTACTAATAATGTTGAATATACTTGATTAAGAAAATTGAATTTTGACAAACATACGACTTTGATATGCCTTTTTCAAGTTATTAAACTCATTTAGAGCAAACAAATAAAAATTAAACCCAGTTATTGAATTTAACCACCAAAACAACTATAAATTGTTTATCTATTTTCAGGGCACATGTGGGATGTATATGCATTAAACATATGTGGTTACAGAAGTGATGGCATGATATAGGGCTCCATGTTTCGTTTTTTCCCCCTATGGAAACAAAATTTCCAAATGTCCTCGTACATGTTATCCATCAGTAACACAATTTCTCACAAAAATTAATACCACCATACTCAATACCCATACACTTTAAGTGATACGATAAAAACTTCAAATATACATTAATTACGCAAAGAGGGTGGGCTTATTAGTAACTATTAAGGGTAAGTAATTTGTCATAAAATTTTCAATTTTAAAGTGGATGATCTCTTCTAAAGTGAACTGATATAATATGCGAAAAAATTATCCACAAGCGGGTGGATGAGTTGGCATGAAATTCTTCCAACTTAATAAGATATCTTAGTTTTAAATTCTGAGAATGCAGTTTCGTTAAAACTCGTGAGGGAGAGTTTTGTCGTTCGTTGGGTCTTGCTCGGCTAAAATCCGTATTAATTGGTGGCCAAGTGAGTTTCCGGATATCGGATAATCCATATAAAAATAATAATAATAATAATAATAATAATAATAATAATAATAATAAGCGAAAATTGATCTATAATATCACATAATCACAATAGCAAAGAAAGTCTTCAAATATACATCACATGGCATAATATTCTAGCTATTTTTTTTACTATAATGCAGCTTCTGCAATGCTTCCTCTCATCTCCTTATCCCATTTTCATTCACTCTCCCCTCACATGCTTTTAATATTAAAATTGGGAATTATTTGCTGACCCACAAGGAATTGAATCAATAGCAAATGAAAAAGCAATGAACCGTCTGACAATATTAAAAAAATATACACATGCACTCAAGTCTTTCTGCAATCCAAATCCTCACCTGCAATTGCACATGGTCTGCTTTCCCATAGGATCTCAATGTCTCCTCCTTCCCAATGCCACTGATTAATTCCTTTTGATTCTCATGTTTCACATTAATCTCCCACACAAAATGGCCAATTAAAAATGGATCGATTAAGCATTTGAATTCGAATAATTGAAGGGTATATTGTTGCCATTTGGTCTACATATCTTTTGGCATCAACCTATTGTGGAGATCCATATTGCTTGTCAATTACAGAGCCATATGCCTTTTGGATATTAGACTGGTGAGGGCACTATGGTCATCAGGCCCCCTAAATTTATCCACTTTATTTTGTGAATATGATTTGTTAATTACATTTGTTTTTATAACAATAAAAGAGTAAATCCTCATATATCATTAAATGAATCAACATATATCAATACATATGTCTCATCTTAATTAAAAGAGTTAACAAAAATTATGCATTAAGTTAATTTTTTTTTTCTATCAATGAACATCACCGACAAATCATTTTCAGTTTTTGAATAAATATTTCAAAAAGAAATGAAGTTTCATAGAAATTCATCGAATAAAATTTTATTGTGCCATGAAGATATTTCTGGTGTGGTATTTTAAAAAGCCTGTTGTCTTCAAATTAGTTTGCACAATGTAACACATCAACATAAGTTGCATAAGTTATTGGGTTTAATTTTTTTTATTTTATTTTACCAAATTCTTGGTATTTAAAAATTACATAATTTAAAATCAAATTGAGTAGGACTCATAAGGATATGAACTTTTCTGGTGTCGTCTTTTTATTCATAAATTT